CCCAGTCACGACGCCTTCTTTCTACGGGCTCCCAGAGTTGTGAGCCATGCCAGGTACCTCAAATGCTCTCTGATCTGCGTATTGAAGTTTCTCAGAGATGGATTACCATGTGTAATTGCCATGATGGATAACGCGGCGTGGTATTGAACGGGGCCCTGGAGTCATTCAGGACCTACATTCGCCCCGCATGTTCAGATGGAAAATTAAATGATTCTTAAAATAATAAATGTGCACCCTGGAGAGAAATACTCAGCTGCTCCCTCAAGAGGAGCTGTGCTGTTCTTGTGTTGAGCAAGGAATGAGGAAGGTAATTGAAAAGTTATTACTTTGGGGGCAAATTTATCTTGGCTTGTATAGCGCTGCAAATACACTTGACTGGTGAAGCAATACATGAACTGTAACAGGGAGAGCAGACTGCTGCAGAAAAACCAGGCCAAACGATCTGGGGGTGATTTTTGCACAGCCCTGTGCTCCGCGTGGTGGCTGCGGTCCTGAGCTAAGGCAGTGCCACCCAACCCGGGTGACAGCGTGCAGGCTGATGTGTGCCACGTGCCCACGGAGGTCCCCAAAAGCTGCAGGGCAGTGGTCAGAGCAGGAGTGCTGGGACACGGGCAGCAGGCTAAGAGAGGCTGCCCCACGCCAACATCTCTCCAAAAGTGCCACGACTTCGAGCCCAGCGCCCTGCACCTTCCCCATGGGCAGCTTCATTGGGTGGTGCTGGATGGAGACCACAGGCACCCTGCTGTGCTGTCTCCAGCTGCTAGCAGCCATTTGGGCCCTTCCATGTAATTTTGTCTTCTCTGTGACCATGCTGTGGAGGTGGAAGCAGGATGGGAGGACCAGCAGGTGGGAGAAGGACATTATTGACATATCTGTAATGTGAGGCTCAGCCCCAGGACAGGGGCAGGGTGATGGGGGAATCTCTGCCTTTGGAGATGCTCAAACTTCAGCTGGACAAGCCTGTGACACAGCTTGGAAATTGTCCCCTCTGTGCAGAGCTGGAGGCCTCCAGAAGTCACATCCTGCCTCAGTCACTCTGCTTCTGCTGGGCTGGTTTGCAAAGAGAAGGAATTAAACTCCGCTCGTCCCACAGAGGTGAGGATGTTTTGGGATCTGCAGTCAGCCTCATCAGAGAGCTGAGCCTCAGACAAGCTACAGCTGAGGACATTTCCACGGTTGTGCTGGAGGTGTGAGGGGTTTTCAGGTCTCCCAGACCAGGCAGTGACAAGGGTGAGGGTGCCCTTTGGGATGGTGTGCTGATGCTTTGAGAAGGTGCTGGCATGGATGCGTGGTGCTCCAGCCCCTCAGCCCTGGGCCCTGCACACCCCAAAGTGAGAAAAGCTAGAAAAAAGCAAAAAAAAAGCAAAAAAAAAGCAGAAAGGGGAATTTGCTCCTCTGTGTCTGCTTAGGGCCTGGCCTGTCTGCAGGGAATTTCAAAGCAACACTTCAAAAGTTTTTTTTTTTTTTTCCTCTTTGTTTTTAAAAATTAATTCAAATGAAATAAAAGTTTTCACATGTTGGCTTTGCTGTTTTTTATTATTAAAAAAAAAAAAAAAAGCTCTCAAATAATTAGAGTACTCCAAGTAAACAGGCTCTTCATGCTTTATTACCTGATGTGTATTATGGCTCTGTTAATGCACTGTGGCATTTCTGCCATTTTCCGTATTTCAAAATGTTTTAAAGATGGGACTCAAATCATCAGCATTAATTGCCAGCGAAACAGAAATGAACCTTCTAAAAGGGAAATCATTTTATAGCTCTAATTTGATTAAGCGGCAAAGCTCATTGTTTCCATCTTAGGTGGACAGTAAAAACACGAGTAAAGTTAATATTTATTAATCCTAATGTGCAGGCCAGGTAATTGCATTGCCCGCTGCGGCAGCGAGGGCTGCGTGACTCTCACTTGCTCTCTTGCTGTATGTTTGCACACCCTTTGGGTAAACAGGAAAACGAGGAGGGTTTGGTGCTAATTAGGGAGACGAAATCTCCTTTGCAAAGGGCTCCTGATTTTAATTGTGAGCTCGGTAATTGTGCCTGGTGACAGTGGCCCAAACCCAGGGTGGGTGAGCAGCTCCGGGAGGAGCCGTGGCTTACGCGGGCAGAGACGTGTCCGTAGGCGTGCACACGTGTGCAGGAGCTCTCTCATGTCACATACACGTCTTTCCACAATTCCAAAATGACTTTTTTTCCCCCCAATTTTTTTCTCCCTGTCCCTTTCCTTGCATCCAGCGGAGACGTGAAGCATCCTGATACCATGAGCAGGGCCAGCACCATGCTGTCACCAGTGTGACCGACATCTCGGGTTCCCCAAACCTAGGAACTTCTGGGGCTCTTTCTGCCCTGGCTCCTCTGCAGCCAGTGGATATTTATCTCTCCTTGGCTGCTGGCTCAAGCCCAGTTCAGTGCCTGGATGGTTTTGCCTTCAACAGTTTGCTTGCCCATGTCTGTGAATCCGCTCACTTCCATCAGTGCACTGGGCAATTCTTGGCATCTTGGCTGGTGGACATTGGGCTCTTCTGTAGGAAAGATGCTTTATGAGGCAGAAGTAGGTGTGCACATTGGGGGAAAACATGACGATTGCCCAGGGCATCACATCACTAAGTCAGAACCACACTGGGCACGCAGCTTTTACATCTCTGACTTAAAAACACCTGCATCGAGCCCCTCTTCCCATGGGGGCATCACCCTGCAGCCATGCAGTGGTCACCACGACCTCCCTGTCTGAATGTGAGCCTGGCTGGGACCTGCCAGGCTAAGGCAGAACCAGCCCCCAGCTCACCAGACGTGGCCGTGAGCAGGTGCTAAACCTGTGACCTCTGCACCAGCACCGACCTGAATTAACACGAGCTGCTTCCCAGATCATTTGTGCTGGGCAGGGGCAGATTAAGGAACTTTCTGGCCTCCTCCCAGTCCACTCAAAGAAAAGAGCCCCGGAGGGTCACAAACCGACCATTTGATTTCCCCACCAAGCCAGCTCAGCATCTTGCAGGATTGGCCCCCTTGCATCCTGCCTTTTAATTGCTGACTGATTGTAATATAGGATTTTATTTTCCCTATAATGACTCTTGGGGCCCCCAGATGTTCTCCTCAAGTGTGGTTGCGTCAGCACTAGAGACTGAATGACTGATACCAGCAATTTTTACAGCTTGAAAGGAGAGAAATATGTGAAGGGGATTTAATTTAGCTCTGATACTGTGTCTTCATCTTCAAGACTCTACAAGAAAACGACATCAAAAGGTTATTTTACAACGAGAGGAGGGAGAATTAGCCTGAGAGGGAGAGATCACCGAGCTGGCTTTCTAATATCAGTTCATTATAGGGAACACGTTTGCACAGCCGCTTCACTGCTGCTGTTAATTTAAACCAAGATGATTAAAAGCTGTAATTGCACCATTTTAAATAAATGTCCGCTATCTGGATTATTATATTTTTAATTAGCGTGGCTCTGTCCAATGTTTTTATCTCTCTGATTGATTTGTTTATGCTGCATTTATTTATAATGCATTGATCTCCCTGACCCTGCTACCTCCCCAGCCTGCAGTTTGGTCACAGTTCCAGCAAATGGAAGAGGGAGTCTGACCTGAACCAGGAAAGAGCAAAAGGTATGGGTCAGCTCTCTCTCCCGAGCTCATCACAGCTCTCCTTCTTGCCTCCTGACCCAAGAGCTCTTCTGCTATTTGCTCTTCCCCAGGGCTGTGGAGGAGGCTGATGGGCTGGACGGCTGGCTGGCAGGGAGGTGGGATGGGGAAGGATTGAATTGTCCTTCAGGAAAACCTGACAAACCCGTGGTGCTGGCAGGAGCATCCCAGGAACCTGAGGTTTCATCCTGTGTGGTAGGACCCATCCTTTAAGCATTATGTCCCCAGCAGGAGCATGCTCCTCTGTCTTCAAAGGACTGTCTAAAAATGCAAAATTTCCCTGGCAGAAGGCAGGATTTCCTGGCAGGTTGTGCTACCTGTGCTGGAAGTAGCTCCTGCCCAGAGCTGTTGAACAAAGCACATTTGCAGTCCTTGCTCTCTTTCTTCGCACCACCTGAAGCAATGCAACTATTGGGGAAACCCCAGATGAGCACCTAAGCCCATGCTGGACCTCAATACCCCATTGCATGCTGCTGTCTGTCAGGGGCAAGGAGAGGCAAGCATGAATACCTTGTAGATCGTTGTCCTGATGTTCAGGGCACTTCTGATTGCTGCTGGAGGGTGTACTGATGGGTAAGTGCTGTGAATATGCAAGAGACCTCTTGCTCCTATAGGCCTCTGGGTGCCTCTGCTGCTGCAGTCACTCACAGTATCTGCGGGACAGGGGCTGCCGTGGACCCCCTCGTGGAGGTTGTCCAGCTAGGGTCAGCATCCCGACTGGTTCTGTGCCCTGTTTTGCCCTGAGACCTCTCTCCCAGACTCGGTTTTGCTATGAACACTGAGCTCTGCAAACAGGCAAGTCCTACAGCACTTCCCTGCTTCCGAAAAACAGCAACAGAGACATCAACCAGAAACCCAAACCAGCTCCTGGGCTTTGCAAGCCTGGGAAGCCAGATCCCAGATAACTCTCCTGGCATCCATGCTAGAGTTGCTTCTTTATTGGTTATACGATTCACACCACCTGCCCCATTGATGGGTGCCCAGAAGAGTGCCAGCTTAGCTCTGGGACTGGTGACTGAACACCCACCTTGGCTTCAGGGCCCGCTCCTATTTCTGCTGTTGTTTCTTCGTGCCCTCAGGGACCCCACTGCTCTGCAGCCCTGGAACAGAGGGAGAAGCGTGACACGGGCCCCTTGGTGAGGAGCCAGCTGTGGGTGGCAGGTTTTCCAGGCTGCAGGATGGATGAGCAGCTTCTGGGATCTCCGCTGATCCAAGGGGAGCTGCTTCTGCCTCTGGGGACATGTCCAGGGAGGGTGGAGGAAGATGTTCTCTGGTGTTTTGCTCTGCTCTGATGACAGCCAGGTTTTGATTCAAATAGCTCTGCAAGAAGAGGGAGAGGTTTACCGTGAAAGACTCCAACTTTCACTTAAAACATTTTTTCTTACATTCCTACAATTCCTCCAGACCCTCCCTCAAACTCTCCTAGGAACAAATATTCTGGAAGATGTTCCCTAAGGCATTGCCTGTTTTGTGCTTTGCAACCCTGCCAGCTGTCCAGGGGACCTCTCCCCCTGCCCCTACAGCTGTTTTATTTGCCCCAGCAGGACTGACCGTCTTTCGGAGGTAAGCTTCCACCTCGGAGCCAGCTGCATCCTCAATCAGGGTGAGGTGGTCCAGGATCCTTGCCCCTTTCAGCTTGCACAAAGTGTGCAGCAGAGTTTTCAGGGTCCGCAGAGGGAGCTCGTTCGTGCACTGCCTCAGTTTCTCCTTTGGGATTGACTTCAGGAGGGTGTTGACATCCAGCAGGATTTGGTCCAGGTCGATGGTGTTGATGGTGTGTGGGAGAAGACGTGTAGTCCTCCAGAGACATTTGGCCAACAGGTCAGAAAACTTATCTGGGCTGCCCTCGGCACTCAGGCTGCCTTGGAGCAGCTTGAGCAAAGCACAGAAGATCCCCGTCTGGTCAGATTTTTCTAAGACCCTTCTCATGAGGACATTAATGGACTGTATGAGCTTCCGATCTTCCTCTCGGTCCCCCTCCAGGAATTCCAGCATTAAGGTAAGGAGGTTGTGCATTACATCCTTCAGCACCTCCATCGAGGCCTCCTGAGCCAGGTTCTTCTCCTGGAAGAGAAACAACATGGCCTGGATGACGCCTTTGCATCGCAGGATGATTTGGTCCTTCCCACATTTCTCATCAGATTCCTTCTGCTTTTGGATCAACTTGAATGGTTGGAAGCTGGCTACGAGGAACTCATTAACATGCCCAGCCATGGCTTCTGCTTTGTTCTTCTGCCTCAGGATATTCTCAATTTCTTCCACCGCCTGAATGCTGGTGTCAGCATCGCTATTTCTGACGCCACAAATAAGGGAATTAATAGCAGGGGTGATGTTATGACACGTGTTTTCGGTGTCTGAGGAGGAGGGCAAGGTCTGGAATTCAGGGATCGTTTCTAGATGAATGATGTCCCTCAGATTTAAGTGCCTGTATTTTCTGGAGACCAGCCTGCACTCGTGCTGTCCTGTATGTGGAGGCAGAGACCGAGGAGCCTCAGCCGCCTTATTCAGATTTCCTCCTTCAGGGCTGGTGGGCTCTGGCTTTGAGGGTGCACCTCCTGCCTGCTGGCAGACGTCTTCACAGCCGGTGTTTGACTCCTGTTGAGGCTTTTCACAAAGATGTTTTGCTGGAGACACTCGTGGCCTGCCAGGTTCCTGCTCTGCAGTTTGTCCCAGCACCCGCATATATTCTTCAGGGAGATCCCCAACGATTCTGAGCACAATTTCCCCATGGGTTTTGCAAGCTGTGACCATGATGTTTAGAGCAGCGTTATGAATAGCTCTGTCTTTGTCTCCAAGGAAGGCAGCTATCTTCTTCAAGGCTTTGCCAGGGCTGGGCTCACACACCTCCAGGCCGTACTCCTCGAGCAGATGACCCATCTCCACCAGGCATCCTGCCTGCTGCTTGGTGTTCTGGAACTTGATGCCTTCCATGAGGAAGCTGAACACCTTCTTAGCTGGGTACACCAGGCACGTGCCCTTCAGGACAGCGTGCACCAATTTACAAATGACTTTCCTTGGCTCCCCTATCTTCAGGACGAGGTATGGGAGGAAGGAAAGGGCCTCATTCTCCGTCAGCTGGTACTTTTCTTGGATCAGCAAAGTCAGCAGCAGGTTGAGGTACTCCAGGCTCTTGATAAGCACCCACGTGTTGGAGTCAAAGAAACGCAGGGAAAGCCATTTCAGGATCAGGTCCAGGCAGCTGATGACTCCTTCCTTCTCTGTCTCCAGGTGCCTGATCATCATGGCCAAGGCTTTGATTTGGTGCAGGAAGCTGGGGTGGAACAGTTCCACCTGGAAGCTCCTGGACACGCAGCTGCTCATCTGGGCCTTCAGCTGCTCGATGTACCTTTTGTTGGGAGCAGTGAAGTTCCACTGCAGCACTTTCCTGCTTTTCTCGTCCCTCAGTCTTTGCTCTTTCCCCCTGGGGACAACAATGAAGATGGGTATGGCATTATCCTCATCCTTCAGCGTGGGCTTTGCCTGTGCTTTCCCCTTGGCTGCACCCACGTCTTTCACGCCTTCCTCTCCTGGCGTGGGCTCCTTGGGACCCTGCTTCTGCTCTCTGCCGGGTTTGGGTGCTGGCTCTTCAGCTGATGCTTGTGAAGAGAAGGTTGTTGTTGCAGGTGGTGTGGTTGGAACAGAGGGCGAAGTGGCAGTGGCGTTGTCTGTAGGCTGCCCAGACAGCGACTCGACAGAAGCAGCGGGTTGTGCTGACAGGCTGGCGTTGGCATTCTCCAGGATCGCCAGTACGTGCTCCCTTGCACCCGCCTTCAGCTCGCTGGTGGCCTCAGCCATCTTCTCAAAGCCCAGGTGCATGATGAAGAAGGGCAGGGCTGCCTGTGAGGCTGCGAACACGTCCCCGTTGCTGTCCTGTAGGCAGGAGAAGAGCAGCGGCACGCAGCGGAGCAGGCCCGAGGGAGCTGACCGCAGGGTGGGCAGCTCTTCAGCCAGCCACTGCGCCAGCTCCTGCTTCTGGAAGGCCATCGCTTCTCTCAGCTCTCCTGAAACCTCCTGCCCACCCAGCCACTGCGATATGTCGAGCTGTGCAGCCCAGGCATTCACGGCAGCCAGGGCGGCCGCTCTCATGCTGCTCTTGCAGTCCCTGAGCAGAGCGATGAGGGGAAGGCCCAAGTCCTTCATGTGCTGTGCGATGTTGGAGCCCATGGCTGTGGAGAGGTGCTGGAGGACCTTTAGGGCCATCTGTACCAGGCTGGGGTTCGGGTGGTGGAGACAAGCCCTCAGGGCTGTTGGGAGCTCTCCTATGTTTGGCTGGATGTGTTTGGCATCCTGAAGGATGCAGGCGACCTCTTCCAGGCCCTTCTTCTGGACGCTCCAATCCTTCTCCTGCAGCTTGGCCAGCAGCTGTGGTGTGATCCTGTCACTAATGTCTACGGCTCCTGTTCTTCTGTGATCCTCCTGGGTCTCATCACCCAGGCCTGGTTTGGGGTTGGCACGGCTGGGAGCTGGTGGGACCTTCCCCTGCACCTTTTTCAGCTCGGCATCTATCTGGGGGAGAAGGGGCAGCTTCTCACTCTCCATCAGCTCTCTGAGCGGGTCTCCCACGTACAGGTAAATAACCCCCAGCAAAGTGATGGCCGATCTCTGCACGCTGGGCTGAGCAGCAGCGAGAGCAATCCTCAGGGTATTTATCAGTGTCTTGGCCTCCATGCCAGCAAAGCCAAATTCCAGGATTGCCTTTGACAGCCAGTCCAAGATCTTGGTCTGGATCCTGGAATTACTCTGTGAGAAAGCCAGTGCCACAGCTGTCTGTGCTGTCCACGGCAATGAGCATGCCTCTGCTATAGCTGTCAAGGCTCCTTGGGCACTGGTGCTGCACAGCACGTCTCCCACCATTTCCACCACACTTTCCAGGACAATTTGAGCAGACGTCCTGGAGAAGTCCCCTTCCTGGGCTAGCAGAGTGATTGTGTGGAGTTTCTTCTGCATCACCTGGAGCTTTGTCTCCTTGCACCCCCGTGACAGCAGTCTCACCAGGGCTTGGCACGGTATCTCGCTTTTCCTCATCTCACAGATAGCCTTCTGCAGGGTCTCTATGCTGGAAATCCGTTCTTTCCAATCGTTGCTTTCCAAGTGCTGAATGCAGGTTTCGGGGAGCATGGCTGCCACCTTTTCCTTGCACTCTTCCTCCGAGAGCTCTGGTTCACACATCTTGCTCGAGCCCACCCTTCACATCTGCTGTTGGGCTCTGTCCTTCCAGGGCTGGCCAGGTTTCCTTCCAAGCACCCTAAACGAGGAGCAAGAGGGCGGCGCGGGGTGTCCTTGCCAATGGAGAGGTGCAGATGTTACGGCGGCACCTTTGGGCCCCTCCTGGCAGGGTGCATGGAGCCCACGAGCCACCTGCCATGAGTGCTGGCCATTGTGAGGTCGGAGCCACCCACGGGGAGCCACAGCGCTGCGGTGGGGTCCCAGTGTCACCACTGTCACCAGCAGCGACCACTCTTCCTGCAGGTGGGTCCAAGCCCCTGGGAGGAGGCATCAGCACAGGCAGCATCACCTCCAGCCCTCATTGCCTCCGGGGGTGGTTTATTCGGGCTGTGGAAGATGTAGTCTAGAGGCAGGGACAGCCACACATCGTGCCACCACAGCCATCTGGTCCCTCGAGCCTGTAACTGGACATAACCCTTTCTCCCTCTGCCCACACGGCTCCTGCTGAGACTGGGAGGCTGGCAGCTGAGTGAGTAAGGAGTAGTTTGGGATGCTGAACAACAACAAAATTGCCAGGGGAGAGAAGATTTTCACTGAGCCAATTTTTTTAAAGGTTTTCTTTAGAACAAAACCCACCGTTTTTAAACGTAGATAGCACAGTTCGCTTTTATGCTATTTAACTTTCTTCCAGCCTGTTACAATTTGACACCTTTTGCATGAGAAATGCCCTGTAGAAATGAAAAACAGGCACTCAGCCGTGGGCAAAAATCTCTGGCAGTGCAGCAGCACTGCCTGCGTCCTCACAGGGAGGTGAGAATCCTACAGGGAAAGCTCCTTTTTGGAGGTGCCCTGCATCCAGCTCCACTGCTCGGACAGCCCCTGGTGCAGAGGAGACCTGTGCAGAGCGTCTGCCCTCACGGACAGGGATGCACAGACCACGAACAGGACAATCCGTGCTCTTTGGCTCTCTCTGCTGGCTGCAGTGCACCCCACTCGTGGGCTGGTGCTCCTCAGGGGGTCCCCCAACATTACAACCCCTGGGGAAGAGGCTGGTGTGGGGAGCAGAGCAGCAGGGACAGAAGTCCCGTGTTGGAGCCTCTGGGAAGGATCACACACCGCAACGAGCACTAGAAGTAAAATAGGGAAGGAAAAATGTGGCAGCGAGGTTTCCCCAAAAAGCCTTGCAAATGCAACAGCTGATTTCCAGGAGGATCCTTTTCTTCCCTAAGCCTCCAGCTGGAGGGACAGATTTTCCTTGAAGGCAAAACCCAGAGCTGCGCAAGGGAGCAAATATTCGGGAAGCATTCACCAACTCTGCTCCGTGCCGGGGGAACAGAGCCTAACAAGTGCTGAGGGACGGGCACAGGAGGGCTGGGAGCATCCCTCTGGGGCCAGCTTTGTTGGGGCTGGAGGCTGGAGCGTTTTCTCCCACCAGCAGAGCACGGCAGCCTGCCTGCAGCTGCGAGGGATCGGGATGCAGGCAGCAGGGAGCAGCAGCAGCGATGCTCTGGGGGGTGAGCAGAACCAAGTCTCTCTCCCTCTGCCCCAGCAGTGAGCAAAGCCTGGCTCTGAGTGCATCATTTCATGCTTTCTCAGGGCATCTCTCTATAAGAAATACCGTGGACCTTTGTGAAGCCTCGTTTTGTTAATTGAGTGGGTTTTGGTTCCACCCAGGTGGGTTTCTTTGCTGGATGGTGCTGGAAATATCAGGTCATGGCACAAACTGCCACGTGTACTGTACATATGAGAAAAACTGTGCTTGGAGATATTTTTAGAGAGCTTGTTAAATTTGGGGGTTCTGCCAGGCATTTGCAGGATAAGCCTCCCAGGACTGGGATCCAGACTGCTGAGGTACTCACAGTATCTGGCCAAAAAATTCTTCTGGGTATGCTATTAGGTGCTAACAAAAGCGACAAATAATTCACTAATAAAACAAAGGAGAAAGAAAAACGCTCAGTGTAAGTGAATTTTACTGCATTATTCTGGTGAGAAGCTGTCAAAGAGTCAGAAGGTGTTCGGAGGAGAGAGAGTACAGCCTGTTCCTTTATCATAATAACTTTTATTGCCTAGGTATAGTTTCTCACCCCGGTCAATAAGCATCCTGCTGCTTTGTTTTCAGAGCATTAGGGCTCGGTTACAGCAGCAAATGCTTCTTTCCAGCCGCCTGGTGCTGACCCACCCAGGGGCTGGGGGCTGCTCCAGTGCTCCCCAGAGGTGCTGGGATTTTGGCAGGATGGAGGGGAAAAAGATTCCCACGGTGAGAGCAGGAGCCTGGGAATAGGGGATGCTCCCAGTGCCCACAGATCAGAGCAATGATGAGTCTGCCGTGACACTTGCTGGGAGCTACAGGGGCAGATTAAATACAAAAACACCGTGGAACCTCTTACAGGCTGTTCTGGGTGAAGGACAGTTGTGCCCAGGGGTCTGGGCTCTTTGTAATTTCTGCAGAGCCAAAAAGAGCAAGCTGATGCCAGAGCGGCCCCAGGCTATGAAGTCTGGATCCCAGAAGCATTCCTCGTGCACCACAGCTAGGATTGCTTCGAGCTATCTGTCACCAACGAGCCCTCTGGGCCAAGGAAGACTTGGCCTTTCTAACAATTTGGGCTTCATATAGCGAAGATCCTGGCCTGCTTGCTAGAGCCAATGGCCCTTCCTGGCATCATTACTTGGAGAGGTTGCTGCTGGGGATGGCTGAGCAGCTCATCGCTGGCTTCCCATGGGGGCATCTGTGCTCTCAGGCCTCATACAATCTTTTCTGGTTTTCAATAAAAGCGATCCTTTGGACAGCAGTTTCAAGCCCTTTTACATGGCTCCTCATAGACATTTCCCTGCAGTGCCTCATGAATCACCAGCTGAAGGTACCTGCTGGGGTGGGGATCACTCTGGGTCTGCCCATGCCACCGAGTGCATGAGGAGAGGTGAATCAGCCAGCAGGGACCATCACAGCCCCCAGGCTGCCCCAAGCTGATGCAGGGGCTGCACCTCCATGGAGCCTTGGCTCTGAGCTGCTGAGAACCTCACTGGAAAACCTCTCTCAAAGCCTCTCTTTTCCCCTTTGGCAGCTTAGACCTGTGGAGCTGACCGCACCGTGTGCTCTCACCCCACATCCAGCCTGGCACGAGCCTTCCCAAGCCAGCACACTGTGCCGTGGCTGCATGGGCAGGGATTACATCCAGCCATTTAATCCCTTTAGCCCATAGTTCCCACCTATCTAAGAGAAGCAATAAATCTTTCTTTGTCTTTGTAGCCTCTCTAGCTCAGCAAGGCAAATCCATCTCTGGCATCGTGTTTGCACGGCTCCCAGTCCCTGGGATTGCAGGTGCTGCTGTGGTGCTATTACGTGTGATGCTGCTGTGTTCGATGCCCTGGGAGCCACCTCCCCAGCCTCCAGGAGCTCCTGAGCTGCCTGAAGGAGCAGGTTTGTCTGTCTGCCTCCGAGCAGAGGGCACTCACACTTGCCTCCACCAGTACATCTTCATTAAACCACGCAGAAGCCGCCGCGCCGTGCCGCCAGCCGCGCCGGGCTGGTGTAGCATGTGAATCACTTCGTCTTGGTTCCTGCCTGTGCCCGTGGATCATCCATATCCCTGCTTGTGACGGGCTTCACTCCTGCAGTTGGCAGGATTAAACTCCCTTCAAAAGAACTGCCTGAGCATAGTGACCAAGAGGAAAAACCTCAGGCGAGGAGCGCTCTATTTATAGCCCGTGAAGGATGGACTCGGTGCATCAGAATATTCGAGCCCCCAGCACCTCCACCCCCCTCTCTGTTCCTATAGCTGCTGTCTTACAGCTGTCTCGGCACTGAAGAATTGGATGCTTTTTGAAAGCTGACTGGATCCTCAGGCAGGAGAGGAGCAAAAGGGACAGGGGTGGGGAGATCTCAGCTTTGCTGAGTCCCCTAAAATGTGTTCCTTAGAGGACAGCCAGCAGCAGAGGAATCAGGCGTGATGTAGGACTGGTGCTTTCCCCTTGGTCTGCATCTACGCTTTCCAAGGGGGTCCTATTCTCACCCTATCTGCTTTCAGGGCAGCAAAATGATCTGCGTTGCTTGCACTGCCCACAGCACTTCCAGGAGGCTCCCCCAGGGCTGCCCTTTGCTCCCTCCCAGGGGTGAGTTAACGTTGCACCCAGCTCAGCTGCACCAGCCACAAAGAACAGCAACCCCAGTTCTCACCTTTGGATACGATGTCTGCAAAACATTTCCTACCTTTACTCCCGAATGATGAATTTCTGATCAAAGTGACATTTGTGCCCCACGCCTCCAGCTCACCCATGACTGCACGACTTAAAGCAGCACGGCTGGGAGGGGAAGAGGCTCTGGAAAAGCACGACGAATTTATCTTCCATTGGGGAAAGTGTTTCTTTTTCTCAGTGCCATCTCCTACCCAGCTGACACTTTTAATAATGTCGTTAATGATGATGGAGTGGGTAGAAAAGCTGCTGTAGCAGGTTTACTAGGTAGAGAGATGCTGATGGCGTGGGGCTAGCACCTTGCCTTTACAGGGATGCGACCCCCCTGCACAGTGGAACAAAGGAGAAGTTTCTGAAGGGATTTCAGAAGCGGTGTTTGCTGGGGATGTTGCAAGGGATAAAATACACCAGGTAAGAAAATGTTTTGGTGTTTGTGAGTGAAAAGAAAAAAGGCACACTGGGGGTAAAGCAGCACTGTGAACCTCTTTTTTGATACCCACAGCTTCCAACACACAGCTGTGATTTCCAGCAGCATCACTGGAGCTGGGTGCAAATCCTCTAGCCCAACCAAATTACCGGTGCTGTGGATTTGACTCAATCCCAATTACAGGGATTTGATGTCTAAAATACTGCAGTGTCCCTAGGTCCCTTAGAAAGACAACAGCAAAAAATTTTACGTAAAGAAATTGTGTGTTATATATGTGCATGTGGGGGCTGTGCTGCCATTTGCCCCGAGACGGGCAGCGTTTCCAAGACACGCAGGCTGAGAGAGGTGAATGAGGTTTCCTCAGTGACCAGCAAGTCCCAGCATCACTGTTTGAAACATAAACTTTATTGCAACGAAGGATTAAAAATAGTACATCTGAAAGAGCCGCAGAGTGCATGTCATTAAGGAACTAGTCAGAAATCACAACTCAAGCAAATCGTGTACAATTGGAACAGAAAGTTTTATTAAAACAACTCGAAATCGAACTCAGATTTTCCTCGCGTGTTTCATTTCACCATAACCGTGTATTTACAGTCTTCGCCTCGTGTGGTGAAGGTTCTGCTCGGGGCGGGGGGCTAGGAGGAAGGCAGGGATGGATGGGGAGGAGAGGTGGGTTTCAAAAGCTAACAGGATGTGAAAGTTTTCCAGAAGAAGTTCTTGCAGCCCGCTTTGCGTTCCCGGGGCGCCAGAGCGGGGTTTGAGTTAGCCGAGCGCTCCAGCTCCAGTCTCACTTCGTCCTGCTCGGCCCCTCGGGACAAGTCCTCAGACTCCAGGGCTTCATTTTCTGTCTGGCTGGGCTCTGAGAGCAGTTCTGCCAAAAAGTACTTGGCCAGTTCCTTGGGGAGAAGGGAGAGAAAGAGGGAGAGAGACCACGATTACTCTTCGGCTACCTGGGGCTCGCTCTGTGCCCTTGCTCTGCACCCAGGACAGCGGCACAGCTCCGCAGGAGACGGGGAGCTGCATCTCCCCAGCAGCTCAGCCCAACCAGCAGCTGCCCCAAAGCAGCCGTGGCTACAAAATAAAGCAGAGCAGAAGAGCACTGACATCTACCTGGTGTGCTGAAGGGATCGCTGGGCAGGGAGGGAGCTCACCCGAGTGTCTCCCTGCCACCCCATCCCTCCCAGATGAACTCAGGGAGGATGCTGAGGCTGCTGCTGAAGCGGCACGGGGCAGGTTTTTGGGAAAGCAGCTGAGCTGGGGCACCCTCTCACTGGGGGATCTTTCCTCTCCTCCCTCCGAGCCCCGGATGCCCCCTTGCATGGCAGAAGACACCTTCCTGCTGCATCGAGGCAGCTGCCTCAGTTCTGCACCCCGGAGAAGCCTCGGGGAGCTTCTCCAGGGGCTGTGCTCTCTGTGTGGGCAGCTCCTCATCTCCTACAGACTGGGGTGAGGGGGTCTCCCCATCCTGTCCCCAGCCATCCAGCCACCATGGCCAATCTCTGGTGGGGAACCAGGGGTCTGTCGGGGAACCGGGGGCTGCAGCAAGCGGCCTGGGGTCTGGAGCAGGGACATCGGGGAGGTTTGGTGAGGAATGCACTGAGGGTACCGGGGTGCGCAGCGGGGAAGCGGAGGGGTCTGAGGTGGGGAAATTAGGGGGTCTGCCAGGGGGGATGGAGGGGAGCAAGGGAGGGGAAGCAGGAGGAGAAGCGGGGCTGCGCAGCGGGGCTGTCGGGGTCTCCAGCGGGGTGCCCGCCCCGTCGGGGGGGGGGGGGGGGCTCTCACCTGCTTCCCGGCGGCGGCAGCCAGGGATTTCTGCAGGAACTGCCGGAGCCGAGGGTCCGAGGGGGCGGCCGAGACGGTGCCGAGGGCCAGGGCGATGGAGAGCAGGGCCAGGGCGCAGTGGAGGCGGCACGACAGCATCTCGCCGGCGGGGCGGGCGCGGGCAGGAGGCGGCGGGGAAGCGCTGGCGGCTCCGCTGCGGCTCGGCTCCGGCGTTGGGGATCTCCTCGCCTCCCGCCGCCTTTATAAACCCTTCTCCTGACGTCAAGGCGGGGGCGCCCCCCTCGCCCCACGCCGCCGGGGGTGGGTCCCTGCCCGAGCTTGGGGAGGGGGGGGGGAGCCGCGGCCGGGGATGCTCCGCTCTGCCCGGGGCTGGCCAGGAGCCCACGGCGCTCCCCCCACTTTGTACTCCCCTCCTCGGTGCTTTCCGGCTGCCCCCCGCCTCCTTTTCTCCCCAAACCGCCGTCTGTCTGGGTCCTCGACGCTGCTCGTCTGTTCTCCCCTCTCCGAGCCTCCAGCATCCCCCCGGGGGGCGGTGGGGAACCCCCCGGCTGTGCGCCCCAGCGGGGCTGCCCGCCCCGTCGGGTAAGAAAAGGCTTCAGAAGGGGGGAAAATGCAAATCTTCCCCCAAAAAGCGGCTTAGCAGCAGGGAACAGGGGGTGCTGAGCTGTCCCCGGGGGTAATTTCTGCCTCCCCAGCTCTGCAGCATCTCTGCAGCTGGGGAAAATGGGGACCAGCCGGTGCCTTGGTGTCATGCGTGTCCCCCCGGTCCTGGGTTCAATGGTGCTGGTCCCATGGGGGATGTACCCATCATTGGGACAGTCTCCCCATCTCCCCCAGCCTGTCCCCATGGCTGACTGGTGCCCACACAGAAGGATCCTTCCACACCAGGGGACTCCCCAGCCCTCTGCCAGCAGCAGGAGCAGAGATTGGGGCTCTGCTACCACCCCACTGTGTGGTGTCGGGGGCCCTCTCCTCCCATTCCCAGCTGGAGGAAGTCAAAGGCTTGTGGGAACAAGGCTGCTGCTGCTCAGAGGTCTCCAGAAATCTCCAGAAGGACTCTTTCATTTCATGTGGAATTAACACCCACCCAGCACACTCACAGACTGCCTTGCTGAGGCTGGACTAGGAGTGAGGAGAGTGTACCGAGGTATTCCTGCTCCACTTTACAGCCCAGCAAGGGGAATTGGTGCTGGGTGCTGGTTCCCAACCGGGCAGACCTCTGAGCTGAGCAGGCACTGCCCTCCTTGCACGATGCACCCCTTTCTCTGTGGGGTTATCTGCAGCCACATCACATTCATCCTCTGCCTCCTCCCCAAATCACGGTGCAAATGAGTGCAATAGGGTTGATTTGGACCCAAGAGGAGCACCCTCAGTCCCATTGGGGATTCAGGTTTTCGTGGTGTCAGTGCATGCTGTGGCTCTGCCAGCCACACGGGGACAAGATTTGGAAGACGAGGTTGGCTCAGGCTCCTTCATTCTCCTGCACTGGGGGCGAGAAGCTGTGCCCCTGTCTGGGGATGCTGGAGGAATTATCGGGGTGTCCTCTGACAGTAGGAGAAACATTACTGCATGGAAACATCTCAAATTTGTCCCACTGAGCTTTAGACACCTACCTGACAACAGCAGGGCAGTGCTTTTTTTGCTTTTTCTGGTCCTGTGCCCCACCAGGAGATGACTTGGCACCAGAACGGCCTCAGGAAGGTTCTGACGCCCACCCTGGTCCTTTATCCCCTCATGGGATTCAGCTGAGGTTGGGTGGAGGCAGGACCAATGCCAAGGCATCAGTGGGAACTTGCCCCTTTTAATGGAGTAAAATTGAGTTCCTATTAGATCTGAGCCTTGCTCAGGATAAAATATTGAAAGGACCAAAATAAGCTTGGTTCCCTCAGGCAGAATTTGGGGGGATCACTCTGATGTTCTCCATCCGAAAAGTTTTGGGATTCCATTTCAAATAATGCCTAAAAGAAAAATACAATTTAATCGAAGATGAAAATATGTGCTTTGGTTCAGAAAACCCTCTCGTGCTGACCTGAAGGAAACCAGCAGAGAGGGAGTGGAGAAGGGGGGATCCACCTGCCCCCTGCCCCTTCATGGTGTCCCCTGCCGTGCCCCCAGCACAGGGCAGACCGTCAGACATCCCCAGGATGCTGGCACAGGCACGGAGGGGCAAGCAAGGTGCAGATCCATTCACCACTTCCCCCTCCCACGGCTCCTCCGGGGAATCACTGTGCTCAGATTTTTTTTTCCCCTCGTTCCCTAGTCAGATAAATCCATCATCCGTCCGCTCGGCTGCGGCGAGGGCGATTCTGTTCCTTCCTCTGTGCCGCAGCGCTGCAGGGCGTGTGGCTTTGCAGACGACTGGGTTGCATTGAATTCCTGGGACTGCTTCCTTACCCCCAGCTCTCCTCCAGCTTGCTCCACGAATCCAGAGCAGTCCAGCAGTGCCCGGACTGTGTGCACAGGCTGCGCGCTCAGCGCTGCGCCAGCGAAGCGTGCCCTCTGCTGTCACCGTGCCTGCAGGACCAGCTCTCCTCGCACCTCATCACCCCAGCAGCCGCCTACAAGATGCTTCCCAGGCTCTCTCAGCTCCCTTTCCATGAGCAGAAAAACCTTGCCACAAACCTTGACAGCAGGGGAAAAAAAATATATATATATTATATTGCAGCACTCAGCCACGGTGTAGTGCCAAGCTGTGATCCAGGAGCCAGGGCTCTGAAATTCCTCATCATGAAATTTCTCTGGAAAAGCAGCCTGAGATATAGGTGCATATGACTGAATAAGAGTAGTCAGCTGTGCCTGGGAATTATGAGAAACAAGAGCTAAATAAAGGGGAGAAACTCATTCCAGCTGGTGCTGTGTGTCCCTGGGATGGGCCGTGCAGGGGGCAGTGGTGTCGGGATGCCATATGGGCTTGTAACAGCCCTTTGCAGGATGCTGGGGACAGACCCAGCTCAGCAAGTGGCAGGCTGCCTTCTGCTTCCCACAGGGATGGGCAACATGGGAGGTCAAGAAATTCTCTTACTCCTTCACATGGGGAAAAAAAAAAAAGATTCTTAAAGAAGTAGAGTTGAGACAAAATGCCTCTGTGCCTGGGCATAAGAACTGAGATCACATTTTATTGCTTGCCTGTGCACACCACTTCTGACAGATATGGTGATGGTCTCCAGGCCACAGTGTGCTAGGTCATGTCCCTGTGCACCGACTGCAATTCCCCTGCTGCGGGTGTCACGCAGAGCTCGTGGCTTTTAGCCTGGGAAGGGCCACACTCACCACGAAGGTAGGCTGAGAGGGCTGGGGGGTGCTTGTGCTGAGAGGTATCCGGATAAAAAGCAATTTCTGTAGCAAGATTTGGGTGCAAATCCATAAGAACTGGAGTCTCCCAGTTGCCCGGATTGTTATTTATTCCTCAACGATCAGCACAAGGCAAGAGATGATGGATACAGGTGATGGGTGAGCACATGCAAATACGAAATAATAGATGAAATAATTGATAAAATAGAGGTTTTATTTATTTATTATTTTGAATTTTATTTTTAATTCTCATCTCTATCCCTATTCATTTATTCCTGCGGCTCGGTTGTTGCCGGGATCCTTCCCAATCTCCATCCTCGCCCGCCCTCTCGTGGGCGCGCTGCAGAAGGCAGCGGGGCCCCCCCGGTGCTGGGCGCAGGCTGCGGGGCTGCCAGCAGCGATGGTGCCAAGGGCCCGGCTGCGCACATTTCCACATTTTGGAAAGAGCTGACTGCCGTGCCTGCATTTAAACCTTCCGTGCTTCAGTGTCAGCACGAGTTTTTCAGCACCAGCCCGAGGACCAGGGGATAAATGGGTGAGCGCAGCATCGGATGAGCCTCAGCACCTTGCTGCATCGCTGCTGGTGACCCTAAAAGTGCTCGGCCCGAGGAAACTCGAAGCCCCATTTCTCTGCGGGGTTGCCCCACAGCCTGTGCTGGGAAGTGAAATGAGGCAGGTGTCGGCGGCGTGGGAAATGTTTTTCGGCGCTGAAGAAATCTGAAGGGAAACGCGACCACATCCCAATGTTTAGGGCTTGCCTTCATGTGGGAGGAGGGGGAGATGGATATCAAAGGAGCTGCTCCAACATATTCTGGGAACCTTCCTGGAAAGCAGCCAGCTTGTCAGTTTGCTGGTGCCTGCCCTTCTGAGGCTGGGAGGAACCAACCCCCCCAATCTGGAGCTGGATTTCCAACTAACCCAGCGGCACTGACACGGGCAGGCAGTACCAGGTCACCCTTTGCAGGCTCGGCAGCCCTAAAACACGCCGTGCAGAGCTGTCTGACTGCACCCTCGCCTCTACCAACACAGCCCACATGGAGCAAAGCTCACCGGCACAGGCTGGCCGTGCCAGCTGCCTGCAGACCTCTGCCCCGTGGACAGAGAGGGACAGAGATTGTGATCGCTTTGGCCGAGCTGCCTGGAAAAGCCGTGACATCATTGCTATAAAAAAGAACAAACACACAAAATCTGTCCCAGGGAGGAAACGCAGCCATGATCCAGGAAAGTACAGTATTTATTTTGCAAACGCAGCCGAGCAGCTCAATGGGGGCGAGGATACGCAGCCTGCTCCTCTGGGCGAAGCGGGGGCTGTTGGCACGGCCCAGCAACTTCCAAAAAGTGCCAGCTGAAGTGACCTGAGAGGTAGTGGCCTCAAAGGCAGTCAGATCGCAACAGAGAGGGGAGAAACCTCATACTTGTCAAACAGGGGTAGCACTCGGAGAGAGGTTGTGGGGCTGAGGTCCTGCTGCTGGCCAAGGCTGGCTGCAGGAGGAGGCAGAGGCTGCTCAGCTCTTGCTCTTATGGGGACGTCTTCACCTGCTGGCAGACCCTGGGCACTGGGAAACGAGGAGTGCCCTGCACTCTGGCTTGCCCCCATCTTGCCATTTCCCTTCCATGCCCTGCTTTTCTCAGCACCGTGTGCCCCATGGCGCATCCTCCCTGCAGCTCCTCCTCACCGCTCACAGCCAGGACCTCCCCTTCCCGCTGGTGGTGTTTCAAAGTCCTCCTCTGTGAATCACTTCCCCTCAGCCCTGCCTCCCAAACTGGGCAGGGATTAAGTGAAGGAAACCCAAAGATGAGCTGCAGACCCTGAACCCACCCAGGTCACGAGGAGCAGGGGCCCTGCTCCGGTACAGATTGTGCTGCGCAAACAGCTTGGAGCCTGGTTTTCTGCAGCCAGTTGTGGACACGCTGCTGCTGCGTGCTTGCACAGAGCCCTTTCTCTGGAGCTAAACAAGCTTCCTGAGAATCAGTTCTCCCCCCATGGCTTCAGCCCCCTGGATATGGACCAAAAGCAGGGGCAGCAGGCTGTGGGGCTGGAAGCCCGGTGCTGTGGGCCAGCCGCTTCCTGGAGGAGGTCAGCGCCCCGGCTCCACCGAAATGTTGTGCAAGGAGCTGAACCAGCAGCCCCCTTCCCCGAGCCACCCTGGCAATCGCACAGGTTTCCAGGAAATGCAAACAAATGCCTCGTCACCTGGCAGCGGGCTCTGCCTTCTCTCTGCCAGCTTCTCGCTGCA